GGGATCCCCGGCTGCCCTGGCCAATGGGATCCCCCGGCTGCCCTGGCCAATGGGGGTGTGTGGGATCCCCTGGCCAATGGGGGGACAGGATCCCCTGGCTGCCCTGGCCAATGGGGGGGTGTGGGATCCCCCAGGCCCTGCTGGGCAGTCAATGACCCACGGTGGCCTGCGCTGACCCCTCTAACCCCATTGTCACCTTCAGGAGATCGAGAATCGTGCGTCGGACCCTCAGAAACCCGGCGATTGGCCCCCAAATCGTGACATTTAACCCGGATTCAATTGTGTGGTTTTGGCCGGTCTTGCCCCCCGCCCCCCTTTCCCAAACTGCAGGTGAGGGACAATTCGTGTCGCCTGCTCCCCCACATGGGCTGGACATGGCCACCGGACTCCTCCTTGTTTTTGTGGCGACAGACTAACACGGCTACCCCCTGATACCCGGCTGTAGGAGCTCTCAACCCCCATCTGCTGTCTCCTGCCCAGCACTTTATCCTGTCCCCCAGCCCCCCCCCCAGTTCTCTCCCCACCCAACCCCCCTTCAACTCCCCTCAGTTCAGTCTCCCTCCCCCATTGCCTCCCACGGCCCTCATTTCACCCTCCCAGCACTCACCCCATCTGCCCAGAACCCCCATCAATACAGCCCCCCACCCATCAGCCCTCCCCCTCCTCACTGCAGCCCCCAGTCTCACCTCTGCTCCTTACGGTTCTTCACCCTCCCCAGACCTGTGGGGGGGGGGCACTGCAGTGGGGTCCCCTCTCCCACTTCCCAGGCTAGCAGGAGAGCAGCCACCTGGGCTGACAGCTGGAGCCCCGGTCACGCCCGGGGTGGCTGACAGGATTTCAATATAAAATTAAGCCGATGAAGTGGGTTCTAGCCCATGAAAGCTTATGCCCAAATAAATGTGTTAGTCTCTAAGGCGCCACAAGGACTCCTCATTATTTTTCTAGTTGATTTAGTTGTTTATTTGAGGGTTTCGCTCCCACCCTTTCTATGTCCGATGAAGTTTCTCTTCCCTGCTGGAGTGTAGGCTCCTGTCTCTTGTTAGCTTGACAGCTTTGTTTATCTGAGGTGTCAGTGAATTCTCATTGTCTTTGAAATTACTTTGTAATTAGCTGCCTGGTGGAGGAACCACATTCCTTTGTTCAGGGCGGGGCTAATTCCTGTGTGACTGGAAGAAAACATCCTGCCATGTGAGCATTCTCTTACTCAGAAATCCCGACTCCGGAGAGTCTGCGGTGGGGCGCTGGCCTCACGGTGCGGTTGGTGCCTGGTGTCCGTGGCAGGCTTGCCAGGCGGTCACATGGCTGCAGGGCTAGAACTTGGGACCTTTTGCTCCAAAGCCACGGCCCTGCCCTGGAGGGGGACCTCCATCGCCAAGAGCAGCACTGCCAGCTCCCCCTAGCTAATGGGGCGGCACAACCGCCCATGGTGGAGCAGGCTGGCCATGGCCCATGTGCACATCCACTGTCTGCTCCAAGGCATGATGCTCCTACCAGGTCACAGGTGCCAAGTCACAGGAGCCTGTCTGTACCTCACTCTCATTCCTTCTTCAGACTCCTGCTGGAAACAATGCAGCCCCTCGAGGTCAGGTCTGTGTTCGAGGCTGCCCAGGACCCCACCTTCCTGCACGGACTCTCCCTCGTCAATGGCTTTTCAGAGGACGTGCCGTCCACAGACTCGAATGCCATAGCGCAAGGTAGCGTCTAAAAGCCAGTGAGGGGCAGTAGAGCCAGCCAAGGGGCTTCCTGGAGGGAGAGTGTCCAGTGGGGGGATTGATTTCACAGCAGTCCAACCCTAGGGGGTATCCTACTCTCTGGGGCCTGGTGGTGTGATGGGCTCTGGTTGTGAGCTGCTTTGCCCCAGTCAAGAGCCTTCAGCCTGAGGAGCCCAAAACACTTCACACGCTGAAACTAATCCTGTTTGGTGGGTCGGTATCATCCCTGTATTACAGGTGGGGAAACCGAGGCACAGAGGTGAAGTAACTTGCCCAGGGCCATGCATCAAGTGAGTGGCAGAGTCAGGAACAGTCAAACTAACTCTTCACCCTTTGCTCTAGCCACACTTTGGAGTGATCTGTCTGTCTTAGAGCCCTCTGTCCCACTCCAATGGAAGTGGCATATCTTCCCTGAGTTCCTCTCCCTCTTTCAGAGAAGCCAGTGGCGGGCGATGGGGAGGAGAGAGCCTGTGGGGTCCCAGAGATATCGGACCGGATGTGCTGTTCATCCTGCTCCCGGGAGTTTGACAGCAGGGAGGAGCAGGTAGGCAGCAGCCTGAGGGGTGGAGGCGGATGGGTGGTGTTTTCCATTGCCACCAGCAGGCAGCGCTGTGAGCGAGCAGGGAGCTGGGGAAGCAGGCTGCTGTGAAATGGGTATGTGAATGGCCAAAATGTGGACCATGGGGCTCTGTAGTTGTGGCCTGGATCCGTGGAGATGCAGCCCAGAGACTACTGGTCCTGAAATGCAGTGCTCCGTTTTGGGCTTACCACCTGGCACAAGGTGGAGTATTGCATGCTGGGATTTGTAGTCTCCATCAGCCGCACCCACAGGAGGAGGGAGGCTGCAATGGATTCTATTTTAAGCCAGTCAAGTGCATTCCTCAGGCCCCTGGTAAATTGTGGCTGCAGCTCTCAGCTGGGCAGGGTCTGGGTGCTCTGGCATAGCCACATTACCAGCTTCCGCACGCGGCAAAGCCCTGGCCCAGGGGCTCAGACCGTCTCTTATAAAGCTGGGGCCGTGTCTCTGCAGCCCTGGGGGCAGGGTGGGAACTTGGCAGTAAGGGCATTAGCTAACCAAGTGACCGGGACATGGAAATCAGCAGAAGCTGCCTTGCTTTTTTGGCAAGTCCCCGGCAGGCTGGCATGTGGCTGAGGGGACCTCCGCGCTGTCCAGTCCCGGGGCGTGGGTTGGCGCGCTTCCATCCATCTGACCTGGGGGAGCATCCGTATGGGATGCCCCTTCTCACTCCGTTTCCTCCCCAGACTGAGCATTACCGCCTGGACTGGCACCGCTTCAACCTGAAGCAGCGTTTGCTGGGGCGCCGGGCACTCGCGGCAGAGGAGTTCGAGGAGAAGACCCGTGCAGGTGAGGGGAGACAGATGGGAAGGGCTGCTGTCATGGGCTCGCTTGAGCTGGCGGAGTGCCACACGAAGCAATTATCAGTTGATATCCAACTCCAGGTGTCACCTGTGCTGTAAATTCTGCAACATAAAACAATCTGTCACGGGCTCAGTCCAAAGGTGCAGTTGGGGTTCAGCCTCCTGACCAGACCAGCCCAGCCTTTGGGATCAGCGGGAGCAATCCATCCATCCTTCCTTCCTTCCTTCCTCCCTGTCCTAGCTTCCCCCAGAACTGGCCACTGGAGGAGGCAGCTGTTTTGATCTTGCCTGCTGGGCCCTGATTGGGTTTTGCCCACTCCTGGCCTTTCTACCTGCCGGAGGATCAATTCTTGTTGCTTCCACTAGCAGCTGAGCCTAGGGGTGGCCTTTCTAGGCAGCTCTTGGAGGTCTAAACTCACTGCTTTTTTCTCCCCAAAGAGGATGCCTTCTTTGGATGGAGAGGTGACAATGTGGCGGGGGCATCCAATGTGTGGTACGCCCCATCACCGCAGCCCTTCAGCAGGGACGTAGGCAGCAGGAAGCCTCTCTGGTGGCACCTGACCAGGTGGAGAAGCTCCGAGCACCAATCACACTTACCTTCTCCCCAGCAGCTGCCGGCTTCCCGAGTCCCTTTGTTTGCCTGCCCCATGCGGGAAGCTCCTCTGGGATGAGTTCAGGTCCTGTCATGTCCTATCATATGTTACCTCTGTATAAATCCATGGGACGCCCACACCCTAAATATTGTGTGCAGATGTGGTCGCCCCATCTCAAAACAGAGAGATTGGACTTGGAAAAGGTTCAGAAAAGGGCAACAAAAATTATTAGGAGGAAGGAACAGCTGCCGTATGAGGAGAGATTAATAAGAATGGGATTTTTCAGCTTGGAAATGAGACGACCAAGGGGGATATGATAGAGGTCTATAAAATCATGACTGGTGTGGAGAGAGTGAATCGGGAAGTGTTATTTACTCCCTCTCATAACAGAAGATCTAGGGGTCACCAAATGAAATTAATAGGTTTAAAACAAACAGAAGGAAGTATTTTTTCACACAACACACACTCAACCTGTGGAACTCCTTGCCAGGGGATGTTGTGAAAGCAAAGCTTATAATAGGGTTCAAAAAAGAACTAGATAAGTTCATGGAGGATAGGTCCATCAATGGCTATTAGCCAGGCTGGGCAGGGAGGGTGTCCCTAGCCTCTGTTTGCCAGAAACTGGGAATGGGTGACGGGGATGGATCACTTGAGGATCCCCTGTTCAGTTCGTTCCCTCTGGGGCACCTGGCATTGGCCACTGTCGGCAGACAGGATAACGGGCTGGATGGACCTTTGGTCTGACCCAGTCTGGCTGCTCTGATGCTCTTTGTGGTGAGGTTGGTTCTAGCCCCTCCCGCCCTCTGGAGCTGGCTGGCTCTGACCTGTCAAGTGGGGCCAGGCCATGGGCCAGTACCTCAGTGAGAACCGTAGGTTCTGCAGATGTCTCCTCCCTCAAACACTCGCTCCTCCCCCACCCCAGGATCCTGCTGCACCCCATAACACGGCGCCCTCCCTCCACAGCATCCGCCTGGCTCGCTACCCCTGGAGCGTCAGATGGGCTGTCTCCACACAGCCCATCTGACTGT